TATAAATTAAAATACAAAATCTGAGTTTAATATTTTATTTTTAATAATATATACAAAAAGCTGGTAAGTAGCAGTTTTGAATACATAAAAAAATATAGAACGCCAAGCATCCAAAAACTTTAAAAGAAAAATATAAAAAGTTTTTAAATATACCAAAATAAAATATTGGATCATTTTAATAACAAATACTTCTGTAATTTAAACACACTATATTACGGTACTATAACTTATGGAATATTTTAAAAATATATTGTGTGTAAGAGAATTTATAAATTAAGTTTCGATTCCGGTGAATATAATACTGTATAATATAATCGGAATTAATCAAAATAATGGATAGGCTCGATTTTTTTTTTTTTGATTTTGATTTATTTAAGACCCGACTATATATTTGAATTGGTACTTATACATTTTATCTTGTATAATTTAATCTAATTATGGCCTATAGGAATATTTCGAAACATCATTATATCTTAAAATCAAAAGTTATTAATGGGAATCAGACGTCAAATTAATTTATGGGTAGAAATGGTACATCGCTTAGAAATCATTCCGTTATTATAATCCAGCGAATCCTTTGACGACACAAAACAACAGTATCTGTATCGTAAATTATTTCAATGTTTAATTTTAACTCAAATAATGATTCAACAAATATTGTTCTTTTGTGTGTTTACAAGTTTTTTGGCCTATGAAAAATATATCTGATGAAGTAAATATATGTGTAATTTAATGTAATCTTTTTTTTTTAAATTATTTTTCTTCTGTGTCATATAAAATACTATCAGAGATATAGCTGAAAAATTAAATTCAACCCTCGTTGACCATTTACTTTAATATTTTAAGATGATATTTGCTTAAAAAAATGCAATACTTATAATATACTTTATCTACTTATTCTTCATTCAAAAATTTCATGTTTAATACTATAAAACAATTTTTAAATAATTAATAATTATACTTAGACATTACGAAAAAACTACTCTAATATAAAAACTAATTGTAATTATTTTAAGATAATATAAACTAATCATAAAAATAGTATACCACTGGTAGGTTCTAATAATGAATATAATTTAAAATAAAAAATTATCGTTATGAAAAATATTATTAAATACATATAGTATTTCTATCTCTATTTCATTATAATAGGGTGTATATAATTGATACATAATGACATACATTATTAATTAATGTTGAATAGCGCATAATATTCTTAGTGAGAACTAGCTACTATAATTAATAGGTCATAATGTGTTATTATATAGATACCACGTGTAACTCATAAATACCCTCCCTCTTAAATTTCCATTTTTGTGAAAAATGTTTATGTACATGAAGTTTTGTTATTTGTACGGTAACCTTTAAAGTGCTAGGCAAATAATATGGTCTGGGCTTGCGTGACTCCAGTAACTATTTTACAAATCGTTAAAAACTAATTATTTTTCATATTTTATGAAAGAATTTGTTACCAATCATCCATTAGTGTATTATGTTATCAATATTAATAATAGTTCTAGTCTTCGTCGAGGTCAACTACAATATACGATTCAGATCTATTATAGGTGTTGCAAACACGATAATATAATTAATTCTCTCTCGTTTTTTGGTGCTTGTGTAGGATATTCCGTGTCGTTGATGCGTCCATTACATAATAAACATTTGACAACTCAATTGAAATGCGTGTTGTAATTAAATTTCCAATATATCTATGTATAATATAATATATAATTAAAACACCTATTACCATATATTTAGAAATATAAGCTGACTTGTCAACGAACATAATATTATGTACATATATTACGAATTATGATAAAGGTACATTTATAGTTTTATAAACATAACTAAAGCGGTGATACCTATATTCAATAGTATTGCTACCATTTTTATTGATATTTTTATTTTTATTATTTTAGAGTAAATTATAATATTGCAGTAGTAGTGCCTTGGTGGCTGGAAAACCTTACCAGATAATGTTTATCAAGTTAAAACTATGGGTCATTTGCATAAATTCTTTTTCTTCTATTAATTATTATTATTATTATCATTAAAATTACAACTACTATTATTGTAATTAGAGAATTTCAAGTAAAAATTAAATGAAATGTTTAATAAATATTCGATAATCCAATAGAAAAAACATCTTATATGTAAGCATAGTTATCGATAAATTTAACTCTTAAAATTTAATATTTTTGCAAGGAAAAATATCAATTTAATTTTGAATGGTTTTTTTTCTAAATATATGTTTATTATTAAATTTATAATAATGTATGGTTAGTATGTGTGACTTAACTCCGAAAATCTTTTAAAATTATTTTGAAAATTTTGACAAACTAAAACGTATTACATGATATATACACACATAACATTTAAAGTTTTTATTCAGACATTTTAAGTTTAATTTTGACAATATTTATATTTAAACAAAAAATAACAATTTTAATAATTATGTACTAAAACGTATATTATACTTGAAATATTTCACTAATACATTTAATATGTAATTTGACGTTTAATGTAAAAATATTTAGATAGACCAAAACTAATAATGTTATATCTCAAATATATTCACACTGATTTATGGTATGAAGTATTAATAACAGTAATGTGTAATATATTATTATAGTAATTAATAATATTTGAATATATGCGATGTTCTTGGTAAAAATAAGTTTAACAAGCCTATCGTGCTATTAATAAATAAAAATAAATAACAAATAATACTTAACATAAACTATTTGTAAATTATCCTTAAAAATAAAGGCCATGTTTAATCAAAATAATACTATAGGTATTTTTTTTTCCTAGTTATTTAAAAAAAAACACGAGACATTTTTTTACGTTCGACTCCCTTGTTCCTTCAAGTATTAATAAAATCCAAATTTCTACCAAAAACTGTCTCCAAATTTTAAAATCGAAGTATTTTTACTGCTCAATATACGAAAATTAACAAAAAAAAAAAAAATAAAAATACTCACACATCATTGTAAGACTAATACATTTATCGCTCAGCTCAGAATCTAAAATACATTAATATATTAAAAAAAAAAAAAATCATATATTTAAACTTTAAAGTGGGTAGTATAAGTAAAGTAAATGTATTCAGTTGCTTTTAATTTGGAATATATATATATAAAAAAAAAAAAAATCAAAATTTGTTATTTCATATTTTTATGATGATAAGTTATCATATAACACATTTTACATTTTAGTTATTATATTTTACTATAATTTACTCGATTTCATCATTTTTAATTTCCACTTTTATAATAATAATAATAAATTGTTATATGGTATTTTATAATTCCAAGTATTTCTTACCTCATGAAAGTTCATTAAATAATTTAATAATTACCTAGATATACTTGATTATTTTTTTTTAAACAATATAACAGAGAATTATAATCGTTTTGGATATGAAGACTTTCAAGTTAGCACAAACTTCATAACGTTTAGGTTAAATATAAACACGAATACCACTTAATCCATCATAGTTGCATTAGTTAGAATGTACAAGTTATAACAAGGTCTGTAACCACAGTGTTGTAACTCGATCGAGTTTGTACAAGACGTGAACACCAGTTCATAATGTTCAACGGTGGCGATATTTGGTGATATTGTTATCATACTGGAACTCTTAAACTGAATATTTTAATATTGTTCTATTGGTAACTGTTATACACGGAACACCCCACCAATTTCAAATACTAGTGCACTTTTTACAGGATAGTTTATTATTCTTTCAGTATTTGCATACACAAATACTGATTTTTCAACTATTAAGAACCTTGAAGACCATATTTCTAAACACATAGATTTCGTATTCCATTGAATAAGTGTATTTTGATAAAACCACAAACAGATCACTACATTTTTTTAAATGTTTAGTTATTTATTTGAAAGTTTTAAATGTATTACTTAATTAATCTGAATGTTTAAAAAATGAAAATTCATAGTAATACTCGTAAGTTTTAAAGATATAAAAAGCTATGATTATATGAATATTATAGTAATCACAAATAGGTACTTTGGCTTATTAACCTCTGATTAGACAAAACCATATCTTTATTATAATTACAAAATTTAAAAAACTTCTATTTATTATGTATTATACACAATAATCACATTGAATTATTGAACAAAATTATAAATATTAATTAATTTAAAACTAAAGCAAAATTATTTAACTGTACAAATATATACTTTGAAACGATTGTAGTGGTAAATATTGTACTTTCAATGATTTAAATGCTATAAATAATATTAAGTTGTTGAGCTGAAATAGTCTAGATACTAAAAGCTAATAAAAATAAAAAAAAATAAATAAATAAATAAAATAATATTAAGGTTTTAATACTTGAATTTAAACGTAAATTAAATATTGTGCATTACAATATTTAGCATTTCAATGCATTTATGATTTACTAATAAATAATTGTTAAACGATGTAATAAATAATTATTATATTCAATTGTTTTTTATACACTAGTATAGTAAGCTATAACTACTTATATTTAATAATAAATATAGTATTACATGTATACATATAAACTTCATACTAAATTCACTGACTCTGTTTAAACAAGTTATATTTTTTAAGATTATTTAAATATCAAACTACCTTATTAAAAAATAAGAAGAATTTTAGTTTATATTATATTTCTCAGTGTTCAATTACTATTTAATGTATAAAACAATGTTTTCAAAAGTTTAAATTTAAATTCATTAGTTTTTTAGGTTAAAATATTTTTTAATTATCAAATTTTTAAAACCATGAATTGTGAAAATCGTTCAAAAAATTAAAATAATTTCATATTCAACTAGGAACACTTGTTAATAAAGTAATTTAAAAAATACTTATTTCAATGGTAAAATATCTAAAATTTGAAATTTATTTTTACTTCAATTTAAATTTATATTTTATAATAGTTTCTATTTAGAAAACTTAAGAACTAAATTATTAATTCATTTATTTAAAATAATTGTTTTTTTAGATTTTTTGGAAGAGAGAAGATGTATTTTGGAAAACGTGGGACCAGATTTACAGAACCTATACGACTCAACTGGCTTAGAGGTAATTAACAAGAATTTTATTTTATCATTTCAATAAGTACAATACAATAAAATTTAATTAAAACTAAATTAATTATTTTAATATTTTTGATATATTTCGTCTATAAAAATCAAAATTTTTTTTTTGGTATTAATTTTATCTTATTTTGTACTTTTGTGAATTGTATTATTATACATATATTAAATACGAGTATAAAATAGGATAAATAAATAATTGTTTTGTTATAATCTCAAGTTATATTATTAAACTTAGTAGGTACTTCGACTTCAATTTAATTCCAAGGGTCCACACCACAACAGCATAGATAAGCATACCTAAATAACGAAGAAGTTAACCCATACATTTTAATTCATTCATTCTACTTTACACTAACTTCACAAACACCTTTAAGAATACGTGATATATGAGAAAACTAAGTACAGGATAATATCATATTCTATAATATTCTATAATTTATACAACAAATCTAGATCTTAAGTTTAAGATTTCAAGTTTATACTTGGGTTTGCAGTTTCAATACAATTTAAATAAATAAATAATATTACAAACAAAATTCTGATTCTTTTTGTAATCCAGCCAATTAAGTATATTAAAAAGTTGTATATATTGTTTATGATTACTATATAATAGTTTTACGACAATATTAAATACTGACTATTCTAAAAAATTCATTATTCGATGTATCATGCAAATGATTATATTACACTATTGATTATAAAATAAAAATGTTCTAAATCAATTATATTTAAACAGCATGTATAGTTAGTTAATTACGCCTAGGTCCTTTTATATATAATATATTATATTTCGTTTTCAATTATGAAGCAGTGTCAAAATTTAAATTTAATATGAATTTAGTAAAATTAAAATATCTATACTTAAAATATAATTTAATACTAAAATATGATTATAATTAAACTACGAATTTTTTGGAGACTTCGAATTTTGGACTACCGTAAATTGTAATACTTGTAACATTCAATTAATTTAACACACTGACTTCTAAAAACATAAACACATATATTTATAAAATACTTTAGCTGTTATTTAATTTCTCTCCTGTCTATTTAAAAAATGTTATCAATTAATCAGAAACAGTCGTTTTATCCATTGTAGCTGTTATTCTAGTCACGAAATTCATTCTTTTCGTTATTTTTCTGATTAATAACTTCAATTGTGTTTTCATCTCAAATATAATTCGTTAAACATAGACTTTTGGGTAGAATTAGTTAAATATATATATATATATATATATATGATTAACTACTTTAATTTTGTCTCCAAATAGAATTGAATTCACGCTGTGAGAAACATTTAATTTGTTAAATAAAATAAAATTATGTATATTAATAAAGAAAATTAATGTCCTGAAAATATTATGAAAATATTTTAAGTTTCAATTTAAACTATGAAAAGTATAAATCATGCTTTAAATAACAATCAATTAGTTAAGGTGTTTTTAAACTTCAATGTGTTATAATTTTTAAATCTGTGTTAATGAGTGACAAAAAATGAATACAATAAAAATGACTGTGCATTGTCGTAATATTATTAAATATGTACTCCCTAAAAAATTAATAATTTAACTAATCATCTTTGTAAATAAAGGTGCGAAGTCATTAAAATATAAATACAATGTATCTTATAGCATTCTTATAAAATATTTATTGAATTTAAGAATTTAAAGTATTAAAAATATTGTATAATAATAAAAATAATTTTTTTTTTTTTATTTTATTAAGTAATAATATTTTTGATAGCATTAAACATAACTTCTTAATAATCCATTATAATGAAATATAAAATACTTGAATTTCTTTTGATATTTTATTAAAATGTTTATAATACATATAAATGTACATAATATATATTATATATTAAACATTGAACAGTACAAATTTATTATTAAAATATAAAATTTTGAAAATCTCTCATATTATAATATAATATTATTAATATTAAATAATATACAAATTACTTGATTTCACCTTATAATTGGATCCATAAAATATAGGATAATATGCTTGTATATATTTTAATTATTACTACTTTTTAACAAATTATTACAGAATATAGCTGTTAAATTAAATAATGTTTAAAAAAATTTTAGTAATTTACAAAAATATAGTATGAGTTATTTCTATTTTATCCTAAATGCAATTCTGTTATGAGCTACGAAACGTAATTTATTAATTGTACTTATTAAAAATGCATAAATTAATTCTAGAAATTAATTCGAAATATAAACAAAAACTTAAGTTAAATGTTGAATAAGTACTTGTTACAAACCTCTTGTTTTTACTAAGTAAGTATTGCAAAATAAACATTTTCCTATGACAAATAACTGAATTCGCGTCGAAAATATTCGTAACCCAACCGTGTACTCGATTAAATTTTCTTCATTAAAATCTAATAAGTAATCTATAAGAAAATATAATACATTAAATAAATAAAATTAATTAATTAACATAATCCGAAGTCTCTAGAATTCTAAGAATTTCCAAAATATATCTATTTCCACTCCGAAGACGGACTTAAACCTCTCAATTAGACCAAGCAAAAATATAACACAATATACTTATTAATTTTTATAATACCTGATAAATATTTTCAATATTATGATATTTTAATATTCATTAAATCAATAAACTTCATAAAGTACTTATAAAAATAAATATGATTGTCTAATTGTTTTAATTTTTGTATTCTAATTTTTTTATTTATCTACCTTACATTTGAATTTCTTGATTTTAATCTAGTTTTTAAATTTATTTATTCATTTTTTTATAGAAAAAAAGAAACTGATTGTTAAATACTATAACTAATACAATTGATTTTAATCAGCCTCAATTATTTTTCAATAATACTAGGTAATAGGTATTGGAAATAATGGCAGTTACTTATTTTATTTTCGTTTCTTAGCTGAAAATTATATTATGTTTTATCGAAATTTATTAAGAAATTTACTAAGAAAACATATTTGTTATAGATTATTTACTAAAAAATCAAACTGAAATATACGCCAATAAGAAAATCAAATGAGTGTATACGTATACTTGTATATTATAATAGCATCACAAATCGCAATATTAGTGATTTGATGTATAAACTGTCAAATACCTTTTTATACCTTATAATTTGTATCATATCGGTCTGTTTTATAATATTACAGTTATAATTATTAATTAACCGTTATCCACTTAAAATTTAAAAACACAACAATTCACGAAAAAAAATAATTATAATAGAATTTTTCTACTCTATAATAAGTAATATTACATCGTACACTATAAGTTATAACGTGCGATTTTTAACCATTATAAATTTGTCTTATGTTTTTTTTTTGTTTTGTTTTTTTATAATTCATTTTCTGCATTCGTGGGTTTTTACGAGTCTCTTGGGCTCATCTTTATAGTATTTCTATTGAAGACATATATTTTGTGAGCACGTACCCGCCGTTACAGATGTTCCAGATTTACATACTGTGACTAGAAAATTATTTTGATGTATGTTAGTTTTTCATTGTTAAAACTCACTGTAAGAATATAAATATAAATAACCACGGCTTTAAAGCATAAAACCATATGGCTTATTTTGTTTTTTATTCAGCATAATATACAATGTTGAGATTTTTTAGGAATAAAAATTAAAGAATATTAGTGATCATTAAACAATTTTTAACAAATTTTAAATTATTTTATAAATATTCAATCAGCCTATACAAAATCTATCACAAATTTTTAATTTACAAAGTGGACAATTCTATTATTCAAATATTATGATATAACTTATATATTTATTAAAAATAAAAATATATGTAATATTGCATCTATATATAACTAAATATCTGATGATTTTAATATTAAAGTTTTTAAAAAATCTGCTTTAAATATTATTCATTCATAAAAATCATTTCTCTTAAAATAAAAGATTAATATTTTCTTAAACAATAATTCGTAATAGTATAAATATTGTTGGGTTCTATTATTTGATGACTTCTTTCTTTATATTATTAAAATTAATACTTGTATAAATTACCTATATTGTATTATATTTATTTATTATGTTTAATTAATGTAAATTGTTATATTAAATAAATCCACGTACAAACGAGGTACTGGTTTAGCATCTTTTACGTTAAATCCTTCGGATATTGGTAGTTGGGCATGTAAATTCGGCGTCATGTAAGTGTAAATAAGTTAACGGTGGTAAATAATGGCTAAGGATTTTCCTTAAAATCTATTAATAAATAATTAGGTGACCGTTATTATAGAAGAGAAATTATAGAACACGGAACAGCTTTTAACTGTACAAATCCTTTACGTTTACCCTTACCCTTTTATAATCAATTTTCCATATTATACTCATTCGTACAATGCAGATCTGGTTCGACCAATTTGCACTCGCCTTATTTTATTTAATGTGACTTCATCATTGATCTATATGTTAACCTTATCAAACTTTAGTTGTTCAAGTATTTTAACTCTTAATGAATATTAACCCTGGCTCAATTTTCTTAAGCTATGATGATTATTAATAAATAATATTATATTAAGAAGATGTATCCTTAAATATTGATATAAATATATTATTTTATTTTAAAAATGATAACCAAACATTATACATTTAACGTTATATGTATGCCATTTAACAAAATTTGATAACTTTAAAAAGTCAGAAATAATTGGATTATATAATAACCTCAAAAATACAAAACAATTTCAATTACCTGCTATTTTAAACTTATAATAGATTAATTAATTTTCAATCAGTAAAATGTGAATGAAATGAAAATACAATAAAACTAAATTATGATTGTTTATATAAATATATATATACATATATATATATTTCAATTTGAATGAAAATAATAATTTTATAAATCTTTTTAGAGTGGAATATGTAGTTTTAAGTTTAAAATATAACAATATTTTGTTTTATAATTAGAATTTTTAAATGTATGGTAAATAAAAAAAATATATACTACAGATTTAAAACAT